CATGAAGTAAACACTATGATTCAAGTATGAACTTTTTGTGTGTGTGATTGTTGTACTTCTTCAAATTGTTTTGAAGGTTGGCAGTGACGTACCTCGATATAGGAAAGATATGGGACTATGGGCGAAGAAGCCGTTAAATTTAAAAAGAGACCTTTGGTTTGCAGTGTGTAATTTATAAAAAAAATGCAATTTCGCATGTCCATGGGAACTTGATGGATTTGTTTGTGAGAATACTTTGAAACCTGAGTCCGAATGATTAAAAAACAAACAAACGCCTGCATGCAATGAAATGTCTTCTACTATTTCTCAAGTTGCATGTTCATAGCTCTCTAATAATGATTCGGAGCATTAGATCAGCCCTAACTGATGCCCAGAAAATTTAGAAGCTCTATCTCTCGAGGTAAACTGTGCTTCACAAAAAAATGTTAAAATATTAAAAACGGATGATTTATTAGAAATATTGAGTGTTTTAAGATATATATATATATATATTATCATATGTTGTTTTTGTGAAATGTCACAAGTTCGTATTAAAAATTATATTACAATATATATAGTATACTACTTTTTGTTTGTCCCTTATAACTGGCTCAGAGGTAAGTCTACACGCTTACTACACTAAAAATCAGGTTACGATAACAGTGGTGGCCAGAGTACATATAGTTTATTATGTAGCTTCCATAAAATTAACCAAACCAAACTGCACAATGCTTATTGGTTTTCAACACGAATGTTTCAGAATTCAGAAACTCATCGTCAAGTGTTGTAAAGTATATATGTATCAGAGTACCGGACAGTTATTTGTATACTTAACGATTTGTTATATGAACCATTCCATTTTTGTATCATCTGTATAGTAGTCCACAAAGAGACAATTTGGTAAACTGAAAGTCGAAGAGATGCTTGTTCTTACCGACTGTCTTGCAAACTAAAGGTGAAATGAATGCATCTCTGAATCAATAGAAATTATGTTTCCTCCTAGCACCTCACATGATATATGGACAAATTAATTGTTCTGTAAGTATGTGTCAATATATTTTAGACCGTCAGTACTATAAATAATTAAAGATTTACACGAAATTTAGTGCATCACAAATCCTAGAACAAAATTCGTAAACTACTGCCTCTAAAGAAAAAACAAATGCTTCATTACAGTATTTGTTAACTAGAACAAGTGTTTTCGTTATAAATCGTCTTTATGACTTTTATACAGTGTTTTTAAATATCTTTTGTAACTTGCGAGTAGCGCCTCCTGAGCTTCAAAACACTGTATAAATTGATGATAAGAAACAAGCATAATAACCAATTGAACTAAAGGGTAAACTCACGTACAATTCTAAGTAAGGCATATATTAAATATATGACTTACCTATCCATGATAGTACAGATAGCTACTTTTTTTCCGAATTTGTCCCAAAAGTAAACTACAATTCAACCGATCGTTGGGTTATTAAAATTTCGATGATGGTTTAAGTAACACAAAGTCACACTAATAACCTTGTAATCTGTCGCTGTACAGCCTAAAATAAATGGAAATAGCAATATTTATTTCAGCGTTCTTTAAAAACTCAATTTTCTTTGCACATAACGTTTTTTTAATCAGGAAAAAATCACAAACAGGCCTCTGCATTTAAATATAGAAAACATAGATAATAGAAATTAAGAACTTGGGAGCATTGGATGTTGTAACTTTTTCTTTTACTAAGACAGGTTTGTGATTTGATAAAACAGTATGTCATAATTGTTGTTATTTCTTTATAACTACTTGTCTAACCAGTTATGGTTATTTCCAACTATATCACTAAACAAAATGTATATCTATACAAACAAGTCAACAATCTGAGGACCAATCGACGTATTGTTTCCTTTTCTAAAGTTATTTACTTCCATTGATTTATAATGTTGACCTATATGCAGGGTGTAAAAATATCCTGTTGTTCAAAATTCCTTTAACTAACATTGACGAGCTAAGCTTACTAAATTAGTGTTAATCTTCTCTCTATTAAGTTGCCTTTGCGAACTACTATCCTTTGGCGACTATCAAATTAAAATCATTATAGAGACTCGATCGATTATGGATTTTGTTTTGTAGAAGGATCAAACTGTTGCTTCATCATTCTACTGATAGTTTATGAGTTTGTTTTGTTTTTTGAAAAGTGATATTTAAAATTGTACGGTAAACATCAGATAAAAGAACACACAATTCTGAAAATCCCGTGTATCAACACCTATAACTCCCACAGTTCTGAAAATCCCGTGTATCAACACCTATAACTCCCACAGTTCTGAAAATCCCGTGTATCAACACCTATAACTCCCACAGTTCTGAAAATCCCGTGTATCAACACCTATAACTCCCACAGTTCTGAAAATCCCGTGTATCAACACCTATAACTCCTACATTCACTTGCTCGTACTTCTTTAATCTCTGTAGGACAAATGCGATCAATAAACACACGCTGAGTTCAAATTATAACCGCTAACAACAACACTGGGAAGCCAGACTACGGTCATAGCAGACTTTGGTTCTATTTTATCTACAGGCGTTTTTATTTGTTTCTCAGCATGAAATATAGATGATTTATGAGCAGGAAGTGATAAGCTCTTTAATGAACTTATGTGTTACTTTGACCACTACATTAACAAAAACAATTAATATAATAACAAACTAGTTTATGATATAAAATACAGAAATAGCTTTTTTACATAAAACAAATATATATTAAGATGTGTAATTTAGTACAATTTGATGTAAAATTACCTAAAATTGTAATTCGGTGCAAAAGAAAATTTCAAATTCAAATATAGATATCAGAAAATCATTCAATTACAAATGAACGTCTTCTAGTCATCTTCATCTCAATTTATAATTTTCTGTTCCAAAGAATCTTAAATGTTAATAGTCGTATATCTACTTGTCTTAGACTACAGATTTTAACGTATGTTTATTTTATCCAAACTAATATGGAATGTTAAAAGTCAATGCAAAATATCTAAGTGAATTTTGTAAAGTATTGTACACTTATTTAACCCTAAAATAGGGAAAGGGCTCGATCATACAGACATTAGCGGTTATATTTGTGTTCACAATATCAAGAACTACAACTGCCTTTAGTAATGATCATTTATTATTAGAGCTTTCGAACAATACAATTTTATCCTCATCTGTTAACTTCTTGACGTTTTTATTTGTTTTTATTCAACGAAAACGAATAAAAAACAAATTTTTGTTGAGTTTTGCGCAAAGCTACACGAATGCTATCTGCGCTAGCCATCCCTAATTTAGAAGTGATAGACTAGAGAAAAGGCAGCTAGTCAAGTACACCCACCGCCAACTCTTGGGTTAATCTTTAAAAACGAAAAGTAGGATTAGCCATCACTTTATAATGCCCCATGGCTGACAGCATATGAACCTGCGACCTACAGATTGTGAGTCGAGTGCCCTAACCATCAGGCCATGCCAGGGCCAGTTCTGTCAAGATTTTGGTGAAAGTACATTGTTTTTTGCAAAGTAATTTACACATAAAAGATATTTTTTAGTGCTAAATTAATCAATATGCACTGTGTGGGAATGCCAGAAAGTCACGTTTACCGTAGTCTCAATTTTAAGTGCAAGGCTGGAAGGTATGATGCTAAACGTTGTGGATGCAGTCACGATGACATACCTGCTGGGATTAAAGCGATCAGAAAGAGCGGTGATTCAAAATGTTAGAATTTAGCTAAGATAGAATATCAAAACGGGAAAGCAGAAGGAATAGAACAAATTAGAACTTTGTCCTACCCACTTTCATTGTATATATTTTCACTCTCTTAGCTTGTTCAGTAATTGTTTTTGGTTTGTTTTGAATTTCGCACATAGCTAGCCGTCCCTAATTTAGCAGTGATGAACTAGAGGGAAGGCAGCTAGTCAACACCATACACTGCAACCTCTTGGGCTACTTTTTTACCAACAAAAAGTGAAATTGAACGTCATATTATAACGACCCCACGGCTGAAAGAGTGAATATATTCGGCGACGAGGATTCTAACCCACAACCCCCAGATTGCGAGTTGAGCGCCCTAATTACTAGGCCATGCTAGGCTTATTTATTGATTTTCAGGCTTAGATAAGATTCATCAGACCTCAATCAATAAAACTGATAAAGAATAGTCGAATAAAATCTATTTTGTTTCTTCTAGTATCCTAGATGTCATGAACATGCTGAAAACTCTTCTTATAGTGCAAATCAAAATCGAAATAGAATGGCCCTAAGACTTTTTATCACATCCAAACAACTGTTGAGAGTTGCACTGATTAATAGCAACGACGTAGATTGTAGCCAAGAGTTTGTTAACATGTGGTACTGTGAATCTTAGGGTCCAGTTCGAGTCTCGGAGTTAGAAAATCTCCCTCCATGCTTTGGGGGCTGTGGGTGCGTTATAAAGGTGATAGTCAAACCCCATTATTTGATTTGAATAGTCCAATAATTGGTCTTGGGTGGTGTTGCATAGCTGGCTTCTTTCCTTAGTCTATCTGCACAAAATTAAAGGCAATTTGAACACAGAACTGTTATGTTGCTTTGCATAAATATTTAAAACAAATAAACTTTAAGTAAATACAAACCTTTACTTTTGCATTTTATTTTCAATTCTCAACCAGACCAATGGCGCACTTGTATGCGATCATAAGAAATTTCTTATAAGCCGAACCTAAATAGGTTATAGCATCAGTCTGTGAGATAAGTCTCACCAGTTTGACGGTACAACATTTTTTAAAGAACATAGTAAAGCATCAAACATCACTTTTATATTTTGTTAAGAGCATAAAATGGAACCTTTTACTTTTCCTCATTTCCTTTAGAAACCTTAAATTCCCTTGAGCAGTAGTGCTCCTCCTGTAAATTCGTTTTAGGTCTTCTTATTGGTCAGAAATTGTGATATTGAGCTTGACGTCAAAGGATACGGCAGTAACGCTGTCGTCGACTGCTATCTCGAGTCTAATGTGTTAGCTATGTGTCGAAGGCATCTCTTCTGACAAAAGAACAGCAGACAGTCCTGCGTATCAAATACAGAATTTCTGCATTATCAAAGTGACAGAATTTGGTAAGCAAGAGGAATTTCAAGGTAAGATATCATTAAGAAGACTTAAATAGTTATTTCAAGAAAGATTTATTCTGAAAGTAAAGATTCTTGTAAAATATACATCGTGTTATCTCTTGCATTGTAGTAATCTACAATATTACACTAGAACTTAAAAACTACATGTATTTGTAATTTGATATAATCTTTCTTCAATTGAAATTATCTTCATGAGAAAAAAATAGACCATATACAACAAAGCACCTGGTTAACAAAAAAATGGGAATTACATCAAATTTTCTCAATAGCAACGAACATTGTTATTGAAACTCATATTTATTACACGATAGAACTAAACAAATTAAAAAAAAACTGTACAACTTTGGAAAATATGTACAGAGAATTTCAGAAAAACAAAACAAAAAACGTCTCCGTCGCTAAATAAAACGTTCCAATTGAGGGAAAAAACAATGGTCGTTAATAAATGAAGTTTTTATGAAACGTACAACTGTTTTTGTTTTTTCCTTAATTCTGTAATAATGGATTTTTACCAAGTACCGACGGTTTCAAGTATCAGTTAAATAAAACTTCCTAAATATAGCATATGTTTCACTGTAATAAATCAGGATATAAATAACTTAATGAAATATTTATGCAGGATTTTTAAAAATGGAAACAATTTCGTTGGTACTGTTTCCATTTTGTAAGTGCCTGGTACATTAGTAAAATAACTGTAGCCATCTCCCCCCCGTGACTGAGCGGGAAGTCTGTTGACTTATAACGCTAAAGTTCGGGTTTAGGTACCACCGTTGGGCATAGAACAGATAGCCTATTATGTAGCTTTGTGCTTAACAATAAACAAACAAAAATCTAAATGAATTTAAAATTAATTCCTTTGTTTGTTTGTTGTTAAAGGCAAATATTCCCTCTGCGCTATTTGTACTATTTTCACCACAAGAATCGAACCCCTAATGTTATCGTTATGAGACCTCAATATTTATTACTGAACTACTAGGAAACAGTTCATTCATATTGAGGGTTTCACTTGTGTGAGTTGACTCAGATTGACGAGAAGCGTGTGCGTGTTTGTGTGTTTTTCTAATAGCAAAGCCACATCGGGCTATATGCTGTGTTTAACGAGGGGAATCAAACCATTGATTTTAGCGTTGTAAAGTAGTCTTACCGCTATCTCAGCGGGTGAAAACAAGAAGCATTTTGTGTAATATAGTAAGAGGTATCAAAGTTGTAGATTAATGGGCTATCTGTACTGTGCCCACAATAAGTACTGAAACCCGATTTTTAGCATTATAAGCCTTCACACTTAACTCTAAGCCACCGTTCAATTTAAACACATAAAATATATATATTTTTTTTCAATTCTTGTTTTATTTAGTTAAAACAAAACAGTTCTTTGAGAAAGCAAGAAAATAAACATAAAAGTTTCAACAAAGTTTCCAACAGCTGCAAAAAACACTTGAAATCGTTTCGATTTTTAAAAAGATATGTGAAAGTAAGAGCAATGTGTGATTTGTTTTCCTTCGTTTACTTTTTATAAGTATTTAGGAGGTAATAAATCAAGGAAACTACTTTTTAATATTAACTTGTGTTAGTAATATTTCAAAAAATACTTTTTTTCGTACCATGAAAGCTACAAACAGCAAAAGATTATGACTTTAAGGAATATGACTCACGATACACTTTTATATTTTCTCCTCGAAGCACAAATTAATTTTTTTTTAATATTTATAATTTCTTTTATATGCCCCGCCCCCGTGGGACAGCGGTAAGCTCACGAACGTAGAACGTTAAAATCTGGGGTTTGATTCCCCGCGGTGGACATAACAGATAACCCAATATAGCTTTGCTCTAAAATAAATAAACAATTACATTTTAAACAAAAATATTTTACATGGAACTCATTTTATGTAACAATTTGTAAAAGAAGTATATTATACACAAGGCTAGAAAATCCTGTTGCATATAGATTAAAGTGTTATAGGTTGCATGTAGATCGAGATTTTAAAGTTTGCATTTAGGTTGAAGTATTATAGGTTGCGTATTGATTGAAGTGGTATAGGTTGCATATAGACTGAAATGTTATAAGTTTTATAACTTAATTGAAAACACCTAGCTTCTAATTGGGATAAAACGGAAATGTAAATAAATCCTCTACTTCATATAAAAGACTTATTAATTGCTACCTAACTTATAACTCAAACCCCCAAATATTTTCATTTAATCAAAGAGCTATAAGATAATCTTGCGTGTTTTATAAGAGAGGTATTTTAGTTTTATAATAACCTGTTGTAGTTAACATTGACTTATAGTAAACTTACTTGGATCATTTTACTTTCTGCCTAGTTGTATCTATTTCTAAAGAGGCTATATGATCAAGTAGTATAGTTTCATTGGGTCTGTACATAATCCCCAAAATGCATTTCTTAACAACTTACAATATCATATTCTTGTCACTAAAGGACAAGACTTATGTGCTTTAGTATATTATGCTCTCTCTAAAAAACTATAAATCACAGGAAGGAACGAGTTAATGCATGCTTTTGCTATCGCAGTACCAAATTTTCTCAACTTTTTTTAATATCAAAATTATTTACATTTCTTTTATTGCAGGAACATTTACAACAATACTCTAACACTAGTCCCTGATTTTTCATTTCAAGTGGTCTTGACACATATTTTGCTTGCAACTTTAGGGTATTCTTCTTACATCAACTTTTATCCCCACCGGTTGTGGGGGATAGCCGCCACCACTTCTTTCCTACGTTGTCATTTCGCAACCACAAATAGGTAAAACGACTGCTGCTTATGCCCGAAAGAAACATTTGATGTAAAACTACCTATGAAATACTTACAATCATCTTAGCTCCTCTGGTTCATATGCATCCTAACTCATCACTGTTAGATTTTTAAAATTTTACTACAAACATTACGTAAATAACTATTAGTATCAATTATATATACACAACATAAAACAACCGTGCTCTGCTACGAGGTTCAATAGCTCACTCATGATTCCCGAAGGTCTCAATGTACCTATCAAGCTCCTCCATTATACCCCAATTATTTCCATAGCCACCTCAAAGGGGGGGGGGGACTGTAATCAAACAAAAAACCCCTTAGGACACCTGCCCGAAATACCTGAGAACGTGTGTCAGGTTTGGTCCCGTTATCTCGTTAGTGAGGTATGTACACAACTTCAAACGCGATCGGTATTCCGTTTGGGTCCAGGAACACAAAATCTTATGCCCAGATTCGGATTAAGCGACCCCGCAGACCTATTCCTAGACTAGACCCCCATCATGTCTGAGCGACCTTTCGTCATATAGAAAAGGACAAACCCCGGCCCACCTGGAGTTCGTCTGCCAAGTTAGTTCGAAAACAGTGGAAATAATTCGTAGACAAACAAATTCACGTGAACGTGAATTAATATAAGGAACAAGTTATACATAAGTAGCAAGACAGACGTGCGACTTCTTTCTCCTTGGCAGACTGATCCTAATAATCGTTCAATACATTGTAAATATTTACATTAAGATACTTATTGTTTCCAAAAAAAATGTATTTGTATGTAACCAACTTTATAGAGTGCATCACAAGTGCTCAGCAAATATGGATGTATTTTGCAATTTTGAATATCGTTCAACGATGCTATTATATATAATCTTGCTTTAGTGAATTAGTAATACATACTTCTGTAAGATGTGATTTTTCCTTTGACACAACAAATTATCAGGCGAAAATCTCAAGAAAAACTAAATGGTAGCTAAGGTAGTGGTATTCTCAACCGGAACTTCACTTCATGAGCACAAGGGGTAAACGATTAGGACAGAGATCCCTAGGATTCAAGTACAGCCATCCATAAGGGAAGAAAGTCAGTCGCCAACACTCTACGCCACAATATTTTATTACGATGTAGCAGCATCAGTTCAAAATGTGGAGGCTTTTCATATTCTAGCCCGCCATGACCAGGTGGTTTGGGCGCTCGACTCGTAATCTGAAGGTCGCGGGTTCGAATCCCCTGTCTTACTCAACATGCTTACCCCTTTAAGCCGTGGGGGCGTTATAATGTAACGGTCAATCAAATCATTCGTTGGTAAAAGAGTAGCCCAAGAGTTGGCGGTTGGTGGTGATGACTAGCTGCCTTCCCTCTAGTCTTTTGCTGCTAAATCAGGGACGAGTAGCGCAGATAGCCCTCTTGTAGCTTTGCGTGAATTTCAATAAACAAACAAATTTTCATAGTATGAAAAAAAAATCCGTTTTAAAAAATCACAGATCAGTGGCGCTTTATTTTCGTCATATCCCTTGTTTCTAGAAGATCGAAGTTGATTACTTTTAAAGATCTGAATTTTTATTTCATGGAACTAAATGGTCTGGAGGTTCGTCAAGCGTGTTTCCATAGAGATCATACTCTATTTCCACTGAAAGATGTTCCGACCTATTTCTTCCACTTGATTTGATGTTCACAATTGGTTTATACCGTAGCACTAAAGTCTTACAGATAACCGTATTCTATTTTTTTTTCTTTTAGAATATTTTTATAGTACAGGTTAAGAGCGCTCTCGCAACTTTCGGTAATATAGCAACAATGTTTTAGAGTTTAAGCAGTTGATGAAAACATAATTTTAATAACGAAGAAAATCTGGTACAAAGAAAATAATTTTTACACTACGTTTTAATTTCTGATTGTTATGTGTGGTTCTATTATGTTAGCATTTATGACATCATATATCAAAATACGTATGCAACTATAAAATTAGACTTCGCTTAATATTCTTTTTGCTACTAATAAGAGCGGATAGGTTCAACCCAAAACATTAACTTCAAATTGATTTTGTTGCACTTTTTGAGACAAATCACATTTGCAGGTCATATTGTGAAAGCACTAGCAGATGCAACGTCATAAAATTACAGATATGAAATGTAATAAAAGAAAAGATGCAAACAGTGCTTCTTGTCTTATGTTGCTGCTGCTCGGCCAAGTAAAAACTTTAAATGTGTATGTAAGTTATATGTATAACAGGCCAAAT